CTTAACTCTAAGAATATTGTATTAGTATTTTGTACACATACTTCTTTTTTTTTTTTTAATAAATTTAGGAATTTTGTTTATGAAGTAACAAACGCCTTGCACAAATATTCTTTCCCCTTGCCTTAAGAGTCCTGTAACTGACTTTGGGTATTCCTTTTTGTTGTTCTCAGAAAAATATCCATTACTGTTGCCCTTTGATCTTGTTACAGTTTAAGTCTCAGAACGTATGTTCCTCTGTTTGCAGCCCATCGCCACATTCGCATTAAGCTGTGGATACAATGGTAAATCTATGTTGGCTTGCTTTAAGACTGGTATGGCCTGCTCTCATACGGTTTATTGACAAGAAGGTTCGACGGTTCATTTTTATTTCACGGATCCACGGAGACGAGCCATTTCTGCCGTGCCTTTCAAAGCAGCTTTCTCCTCTGTCCCTTTTAGTGTTTTGACAGAAATTGTGAAGCTCCTCTTTGCCTTTCTTTTTCCACTTGGCTTTAAGATCTGCCTTTGATAATAACAGTTGACTATCTCTGCCTTCTTTGAGTGATTGCTTTGCCTCCGAGTCAGCTCTCTCATTAACTTCAAATCCACAGTGCCCCAGGATCCAATAAAATTCTATTTTTTCCTTCGTTATTCCAGTATTTCGATTTTGTATTTAAGCGTTTGAGTAATGTGCGATTTGTTGTTCATTGTAGATGCGTTACTAATTCCTTTTAGTACGCTTTCCGAATCCGAGAAAATCACAAAATTTCGTTCCGAGTCTACTTTTTGGATGATTTCTAGTGTTTCGCTAATTGCTAGTGCTTCTGCTGTGAAAGTGGACGCTATCGTAGCTATCCTGAACTTCCAGCTAATATCGTTACTTATATCTATCGCTACGACTCTTATCACTGGTTTGTTCTCCATTTTTTTCAATCCGTGACGACTTTATCTGAAAGCAAATTGTACGTCGTGCCATCTCTCCCGGCTGTAGTGACACTGCAACGACGGCGGGCTACAGGTAGCAGCGGTGCTCAGTCGACAAGCAGGGTACCTACTAATCTAATTTCCACAAACCCCCATTCATAACAGCAATGAACAATTTTCCAACTTTGGTAGTACAGAGGAACTTACTCCGTTTTCAGAGTAAAAATGAGAGTGCGTGAAGTCGTGTTACAAACGTCACTTCACCCATATCCATCACGACCAAAGAGTGCATCAGAAATGCCACAGGTCCATTAAAAAAGTGCAAACGCTTCATCTGAATCAGCGATCAAGAAGTCCGTCGTCTTCCTGGCTCCCCGATGTAGCCCGAAGGTAAAAATTTTGAGTTTAAAATAACTCCCCAAACATTTTAAGCAAAAAAAATATATATATATAATTTGTATATTAATTTCCTCCGGAATTTCGGAGGTCTGTAGCTCAGAGATTAACTCGCCCACAGGAGACAAAAGCATGTCAGTGAAAAGAGTAAGTAATTAAGTTCTTAACATACCTTACAGGCGTTCCATATGTCCTCCTCTGGTGACTCGACAGACGTCACTTCTGCAATCAAGCTTTCGCCACACACGTTGCAACATATCAACATCGATGTTATCAACTGCAGCCACGATTCTCTGTCGAAGCTCTGGTAAATCTCTTGGTAAAGAGGGCACGTAAACTTTATTTTTAACACAGTGTTAGAGGAAAAAGTAACACGGAGTGAGGTCGAGTGATCTGGGAGGCCAGGAAATAAGTGCGGAGTCTTCGTTAGACGTACGTCCAATCCAACGCTGAGGTAAATTGGTTTTGAGGTGTCGGTGAACTTCCAAATGAAAATGGGGAGGAGCTCCGTCCTGTTGCAAAATGAAATTGTCACTATCCTCCTGTAACTGAGGCAATAGCCGTAGCTGTAACTTTTCTAAGTAAGCAAAACCATTAACACATTTCTCGGCAAAGAAAAATGGTCAGTACACTTTCAGAGATGAAACTGAACAAAACACAAAAAAACAATCACGGATGTGTTGAACTGTTGCACGAGGGCTTTCCGTGCCCCAAATACGCACATTATTGCCGTTGATCTTGCCAGCAAGATGGAAACACTGAATCACTGAACACTAACTCATCTGCTTCCTCCTGTAGACGTTCTTAAAATTATAAACAGAATTCATGACCGAGATTGTGATCTTCAGGAGTGAGAGCCTGAAACAGCTGCAACCGGTATGGTTTGCAGGAAAATCTTTTGCGTAGGATGCGCCAAAGAGTCACATGAGACATTTCCAATTCTCGCCTTGCGCGACGTTTTGATTTTTAGGACTCCTGGTAAAGGATTCTCTTACACGGTCCACAGTCTTAGGCGATGACCGTGCCTGCCTGTTCTTTTTGCGGCACACAGACAGCCCGCTTCCTCGAATTTCCTATACAACTCTCTTATTGTTTTCTCCGTCGGTAGTTCTATATGATACTTGGTTCGAAAACCACGTTGCACTGTTATAATTGACTCGGTTTTAGCGAATTGCAAGACACAAAGTATTTCTGTTCGTCTCAAAACGCCATGTTTCCACAATACTGCCTCCTAGTGGAAAAACGGGTAACTAAGCCATGAAACAAGTCATAAGAAGAAAACTTTATTATTTACTCTTTTCACTGACATACTCTCGTCCGTTCTGGGCGAGTCTGCCTCTGAGCTACCCACCTCCGAAATCTCGGAGGGATTTATGACACATGATGTATATACACACATGTACATCACTCATTCACTCATGGAGCTGAGCCCTTCTTGAGTAGCCGCCAATTCTGCAGCTACTCAAGAACTAATCCCAGCATTTTGTGGAATTCGAAGGTTTATTACCGTGTTCACAAGAACCCTTCACTGATCCCTATCCTGAGCCAGATCAATCCAATCCATACCATCCAATTCTCTCCAAGATCCAGTTTAATATTATCCAAAAACCTACGTCTTAGTCCTCCCAGTGATCTCCTTCCTTCCGGCTTTCTCACCGATATCCTATGTGCATGCGTCCTCTCCCACATTCGTGCTACATACCGTGCCCATCTCATCCCCCTTAACTTGATCATTCTAATTATACTTGGAGAAGAGCACAAGTTATGAAGCTCCTCATTATGCAGGTTCTCCAACCTCCCGTCACTTCATCTCTCTTCGGTCGAAATATTCTCCTCAACACCCTGTTCTCAAACACCCACAGTCTATGTTCCTCCCTCAATGTCAGAGAGCAAGTTTCACAACCATACAGAACCACAGGCAAAATTATACTTTTGTACATTCTAATTTTTATGTTTTTAAACAGCAGACGAGAAAACAAAAGGTTCTGGACTGAATGGTAGCAAGCATTACCCGAATTAAATCTCCTCTTGATTTCCTACTGAATCAAGTTGTGATTTATTATCGTCGTTCCCAAATATATGTACTGTGCTACATTTCCAAAACTTCTGTTACCTATCTTTATGTCCTGATACTGTCCTGCATTTTATGACGAGACAACAATATATACTTAAGGTTTCTCTGTTTTCACTTTTAGCCCAACCTCCTTACTAGTGTCAATTGTGGTCGCGAACAAAAGGTTAAGAAGGCCCACCCCTTATACATTCATTCATTCATTCATTCATTCATTCATACTAATGTCAATTAAAGTTTGTGAGTATCTTCTTATGGCATCTACACTATCACACAGTAGATTCACAACATCAGCACAGACCAACAGCTGATGTGTCCCGTTTAATTTCAGTCCCACCTGGTTTTCCTGGACTTTCCTAATTGCATATTCTAAGGCAAAGTTGAAAAGGAGTGGCAATAAAGCATCTCCTTGTTTTAGACCATTCTGGATAGGAAAAGTATCGGAGAAATGTTTACCTACACGGACTTTACTATAAGTTTCGTTTAAACACATTCTATTCAGCCTAAGCAGTTTCATGGGTACCCCAAACTCATTCAGAATATTGCACAATACTTCCCTCCTAACTGAATCATAGGCTTTCCTGAAGTCTATGAGTAGCTGATGTACTGTCTCATATATTGGATAAAATTTTGTTATGAAGTTGATGGGAGTGATATCCCACAATAACTACTACTCAGTTTTATCACCCTTCTTATTAACTGGCAATATAATAGACTCCTTCCACTGATGAGGCAATTTTTCTTTATACCAAATAAAATTAATTAGGTTATGGATCTTAAAACGTAATATTTGTCATGTGCGTCCCTTGTCACAACGGCATGGCGCGTCCTCAGGTTGCGAATGGAGGAGACGCCCTCCAGGTATGGAAGGTAGCTGCGAATATATTGAATAAGCAGTCGCGGAGCGCCGACAATGGGTGGTCCTCCAGTTTGGGGGTTTGGCGTCGGGCTAACAACTAAAAAATAAGTTTGTTACGAAAATTTGCTAGAACCATCGGACCTTATGAAAAGTGATACCTTAAAAATTAATTTACTTCGTTTATTTTTGATCCATCGTTTTATAGGGAGCTGGAAAATTCAACAGACATCAAGGAATTTACTCTCATTGTGCTCGTCATTATGGACAATATTAAAATATTCCAGAGAGATTCAGATATAAGCAGCATAAAAATAAAACTTGAATATGACTTCTATATGCTAAATGCTGGCCTTACAAAATATCAATTAGAAAAAGTGTACTACACAGGAAACAAGTTTGTCAGCAATATTTCATACACCATGCAACATTTATATATGATACAAATATACTTAGGACAGCATTGAGAGATCATGTCTCACCTTACACTTTCTCTGCAACAGAATTCACTTTAGTTAAAAAATCCCCATTGTGCATATGTATGAAGAGAAATTATTCTGCTTATGTAGAGTACAATTCTTTCATAAAATAAGATTTATGTTCAATAGCTGTTAGAACTACGTATATATCTACTTATATACTACGCTACAATGTGAGATCACTGGGATGTGATATTTATCATGGATATTTCTACAGAAAATGTAAAGGCAATTTTCTTTATTTTTCTCATAAATAAACAATAATAATGCGTGTGAGACCCAGACACGTCTTAACTGTAACGTACTACTCTTAAGATGAAGCGCTGCGGACCGGTAGTTAGAGACATACGCAGGTAGCTCCGAGATCATGCTTTTTCTGCTGTTGACATACAATTGACTGCCACTGATAACTTTCTCCATGTAATTTGATGTATAAAGATGTTCATATCAATTGTTTCCACACAAATTCTTCCACCGATTCAATAAAGGCTCTTTTGCTCATTTTCAGAAGAAGTAATTATGAGCGCACCGTATGTCACGTGACTGACTGTAATTTCTCTCGATCCTACATGGACAGGAGAGACTCAGATTACTCTGCTTGCCACCTGCTTCTTTCTGATTTCTGGTTTGGCAGTTACAGTTACGGTCTTCTTTTTGTGGGGCGCCCTCTCTGACGAGAGGACGGGTCTGTCTCGTATATGCTGCTGGCCCATACCGGTGCAGTCTTCCTCGGGTCCGAGTCCCTTGGGACTCGCGACCACTGACTTGGTCCTCTGAACTGCTCTTCGCTTATATCCCACGCTCAGACGGGATAGAGGCCATCTTGTCGAAAGGTTCAGTTTTGCTGTTAGCTGGAATATTTATTAGCTGGTATATCCGTTGCCGCGGGAATTCAACAATTCTGCCTCTGTTGGGTAGGCAGTTCCTTAGGTAGTATGAGTTCTCATTCTCCGTTGCGCAGCAGTGGATGTTCTATAGTCCGGCTTTCAGGCAACACGTCACAATATTAATAACCACTGCTCCAAACGAGCTCGAAATACAAGTAAGTTGGTCTTGAGTGCGCAGACTATACGTTCTACTCTTCCTGTGGGCTTGTGTACCTGGCAAACAGCAGCTCTCCTACAATCATGATGATACTAAGTAGATATCCTAGTATTAGAAAGTAGAAAGCCAGTTTCAAGTGGGACATGGAAAATACAAAATAATCCGATTCGTCCCTATTTGTTTCGACAACTGTGTCAATGGTTAAATGAGGTTCAGAAAATTTTCCATATCTCCAACTGGTTTTGGTGTCTTGCTTCAGTTTTTCTATCAAACCAGCTTCAATCACTCGACGTATAATTCTGTTGAAGCTGTCAACTAGAAAACTCCCCTTCTCAATGTACATGGTATAGCGAATGTTATAAAATTTGTCCTTCAGCGTGCACATCCGTGGAGTCGAACTCCCAGCCGGTATCGCAGCTAGAGTGTAGTACTCTGCATGAAAGCTAGAAGATATGGTAGCGACATTCGTGTTACTTAAGTAATCAATAATACAGGTGCCTCTGTAACGACATTCCTTTTTTTCTAGACGTATTTCACTGTAGTATTCAGGATCAGTAAATTTTACGAAGGAATCAGTCCTGTTGTTGTAGTGGTAAACTAAATTAGATTGGTAGAGTTCTTCCAGAGTTACAATTTGCTGACTCATTCCCGGATTCACAAGAATGCTGGTAAAGTATGTCTGAAACACACAGCTTGTGGCGAAACTGTACCAAACAACAAAGATAAACATTGTTCTCACTGCATCGTTTCTTGGTATCTTTGGCGCAGAAACTCCTAAGTATACGGCCCAGATAACGCTGATCGAGTCCGAGACTCCTATGCAAGCATGTGATTTGTTTATCTGAGTAAATCTTGTGCAGTTAGCCAACCCCCACATAACAACAACTATTAACAGAAACACAGTGCACATTGCCAGCCACAAGGAAGGTGTGAATATTGCCGCAACCCTCTCCATTCGGGCGTTAGGCATGCCGCAGGGAACGTACCAAACCAAATTGTCTTCCAAGTAAGATACAGTCGGGTCTGCGAATACCGCAGCCGTTGGATGAAGCGGGAAGCCGCCGAACGCGAGGTCCGTCGAACCTTTGTGTAAGTCACTAAGGGTTTCCAAACGAACCGTCACTGCATCTCCAGGAGCAACTTCTTGGTATACTAAAGTTGCATTCATCGCCTGCGCAAACTGGTCCAAATACTGCACTTCTAAACCAGAGTGAATATGGCCAGCGACGTTGTTCACTACAAGAGCCGGAGGAGTATGAATGGTCGACACATTAAGAGGACATCCATGAAAATGCTTCGGGATTTTAACTGGAAAAAGTGATGCTCCCTTCAAGGACCTTCGTTTACTTTCAAGAGTCAATTCTCCTATTAAGAAGACGTTAATTTTCGCACATTTTTTGTGCGATTCATATGGAATCCAAGTGTATAATCCGAAAGATAGAGGGATATCCTTTTTACATGCAGATTCTGCATTTTTCGTACAGGTGTTATCCGCTTTTGGAACCATAAGAAGTACATCAGCAACCCTATAATTGTTCCACAGTTCCTCCGCGATTTCTAAAGCCATAAGTGAAGCATTTTGTGAGGGCTGTGCTATAATGGCAACGATAAACCTCGCTCGAGGGTTCCACGAAGGGCTGTCCTTCATCTCTTCCAACTGGTAGATTAAATTTCCCATGATATCATCCTCCCCTTCATCGGCCCATGTGAATATCATATAACTGTGATGTTTCCCAAAGTCATCGAACATAATTTCAGGGACTCTGGAGCCTACACAGGAGATCTGAAGCGGCCACCTTGTTATATGGTTCAGCTTCTGAAGAAAGGCGTAAACCATATGCGTGTTGTCGGTACATGATGGCAGTGGAGTAATTGTGCGTCGAATTTGGATCTTCTTTGTTGCATCAGTCGGCAGAGAAACAAGGACAGATCGTCCCGGTTTGAAGTGCTGGTACGCAATATCCACTATATAATGCAGCAGGCACTTCTCTTGTGAAGTCAGTAGGTGTGTGTTTCCTGAGACAAGAGCGGACTGGGAAATTCTCAACGCCAACAGTATGGTAACGGCCTTCATATTCTACTCGAAGTAGTCTAAGACTCTAAACTGAAGCTGGAACACCCTAAACATAAATACAAATATTTCAAATTTGAAAAAGAGAAAATCTATACAGGTACACAATATGTTTTGTTCATTGAAATAGTGACTTTCATCCGATGACAATTCACAGCCAACTGAACGGGAATGTGCAGCAAAATGATAATTTACTGGGATTTTGGACTTTTTCCCATCGTCCGGTGTTCTAGAAAGTAGAAAATACGACGTTTCGGAAACACATCGTTTCCGAAACGTCGTGTTTTATATTTTTTAGAACACCGGACGATGGAAAAGAGCCCAGTAGTTCCGTGTATTATACACCATCGTCAGAACCCTTTAAAATCTACCAAACTGATAGATGTTCCATGCCATCGAATTATGCTAACAGATTAATGCCACATCATTCTGTGATCCACTGCTTATCTGTGATGTTTCTGGAATATACTCTGAAACTGTTAATATCACACAGAACTCTACACATTACTGTACTGATATCAAGCCCCCTTACCTACCTGAAAGAGGAGAGCAGCCACCAACTGAGCGAAATGTTCTATGGAGACTGGACTCTAAGTACAAATATCGACGCTTATAAACAGAATGCCCATATCAAAACTACAGAAAGATCGCGACACGTCATTATATCAGTGTATTCTTTCATTCCAAACTAATACATTATTCACTAAAATGCAGTGTATGATTAGTAATGATTTTTCTGCTGATAATATCTCAGTGAATATATCCTGACTTTTATCAATAATAAGACTAGAACTTAACGTTCGAGTTCTGTAGCTATTCTGTTATCATGAAAACGAGGTGTTCAGGATAATATTTCGATCTGATAACGATAAAATAAGTGCGCAATTTATGATATAGGAGTAACTTGATGACTCATACAGATCACCAAATTTTGTTATGATACTGAAATGCGGAGCGACAAATAATGCATAGACAATTTTGACGGAAAAACTTATTTGAAAACGATCACTTGGAACACAGAGGTCGTGGGAGGATAACTTTGGAGTGAATCCTACGGAACTGGGCTGTGAGCATGAAAAATATATGGAACTGTACTTTGTAGGGCTTAGCCTTTAATAAGAGTGTTGAACCTTGCGCTGCCAATGTTACGTAACCAGTCACAGCAAATACAGATTTAGGTATGTGATTAAACCAGCACGTGGACTGGCACATACTCATATATGCTTACAAACTTAATCAATCAAGACGGAGTATCTACTGAACTTTGGCCGCGCCATTGCTCAAGCGGTTAGTCGCTGGCTTCCCACCGCGGCGGCCCGGGTTCGATCCCGGGTCTGGTCAAGTGGGATTTGTGGTGGAAAAAGTAGCGCTGGGGCAGGTTTTCTCCTAGTACTGCGGTTTCCCCTGCCAATCTTCATTCCACCAGTTGCTCCACAATCACCCTCACCTATCATCTGGGGCTGGTACAATAAGCCAGAAGTGGTCGCAGTACAAGGGACTTAGTCCCACCCCACTAGCAATAAGAAAAAATCTATTGAACTGAGAGTAACGGCGTACAGGTATATGTAATTCCGGGCCGAAAAAAGGCAGTTTCAGCAGTCAGGGGCTGCATGACGCTACTACTTAAACGTACTTGAAAACATTCTGCCCATCTATTCAGTATCTGTCGTTCATTTGCAGTTAAGTTCCCAGTCTTAATCTGACATACCGTAATTCCTGGTTGAAAGCCCCTCTTAATGTTACGCACCCTTTCACGAAATTTCCGTACTTCATTCCTCGAGTATCTATCTTGACGCTCCTGAATGCCATTTTCCTCACATTCTCCTTTCTTTCTGCGGCATATCGATACATAAATTAGCTACATAATTCTTTCGTCTTTTCTGCTGGTTAGTTAATGACGCTGTCAGTATCTTAATTATATACACGTAACTTCGAATAGAATGAACTGGAAAGAATCTGGAAGGAAACGCCTGGGCCTAATCCAAATACTATCCTGGAATTTACGTGAAAGGACCGAGGAAAACTACGAAAAACCTTAGTCAGGATACCTCGTGTCCAGACCGATATTCGAACCGAGCACCTCACAAAAGCACATCCAGGACGTTAGGGCTAAACCAACCTGCTCGGCATTTCCTTTTGTTACACAAGCGGGTAAAACTAAATTCATCTCCCACTCTCCAGTCTGTCGTACAGAATATGTTGCTAGAAACATAATTTTCTAACCCTCTGTTGCTATCCTTAACAGCTTCCCCTTTTCGCTCCTGTGGTTTAGAAACCTTATGTTCAGGGCCCGGATTTTGATGACACGTCATCTTTTTTTCCTTGTAACCTATGCGATGCTCTTAAATATATAAAGCTCGGATATGACCTGCTGGTTACAGAAATGTAAATTTTATAGGCAATTTTTTGGACTTTGAAGGGTTTTTCTTGTCATTTTTTGGCCATTTTAGGGAATTTTTCTTCACGCGTTTTCTGAAATCTGAATAATATGGAAGCGAAGTGTTCTTTCTCTTTCTCCTTTAGGTCACTTTTCTGGATTTTTTTCGGTCATTTTTTAAATATTTTCAGGTCATCAAAATCCGGGCCCTGCTTATGTTAAATAGGATAGGCCTTATTTACTTGAGACATCTTGCATCAGACTTCAAATTCAATAAATGAATTTCCTTGTGATGAAATTGTTACATTCTTAATTGCATTTGTGACCTGTGTATGGAAGGTTTAAAGTTTTGTGTTACGCTAGTAAGACATGTATGTCTTTTTAGACGATTTCATTGGCTGGTTGCATGTGCTCTGCTAGGCTGATAGGAGTAGCTAGGGCTACGCTTAGCAGGTCCCCAGTCTTGGACCCTTACTGAATGCTGATTGATCAGTCCATTATTCTGTACTCAGTAACCTTATATAATGAACAGTAAGTATACCTCCAGCATGCCTGCTTAAGTCTGTATCCTGTTTGAAATATGTCAAAATCATTTCTTTGCCCCTAAGTTTCACATCCATTTGTTGGCATATTCTTCAAGTGTGCCTATTATATGTTCATTTGTTTGCTTATTACACACTTATTCTATATTCCTCTTTTTCTTTTTTCTTTTCTGGTATGCTTTAACTTGAATTTTCTCGACTAGATTTGGGCAGAATTTAAATGGGACTGTATCACCATATATGTCATTCATGCATGTACAACTAAAGCCGAATGATAAAGTTGGCTGATTCTGGGGCAAAGTATCAGCAAATGATGTGCTGTGACTAATGAAACAATTTAAATGGTGGCTTATGTTTATTCAAACAGATTAATCAAAATGAAAATGTTTATTTCTTTCAAGTGTAAAAGTGAGTATTTTTAATTTTTCTCTGTCAGAATAAATACTTTTATTGTCTTCAACTTCTCTCTGCCATTTAAACTTCAAAAGACCAAATAATCACACAAGCATGCCACTTCAGCATATTCTGTCAAACACAGAATACCAGATGATGGGCAAAGTCCAAAAACGCAATAATTCCGAGTGTTATACAATATCATCAGAACACTTTTAGAATCTACAAAATATACACATGTCTTTGCCTTTATTTCTTTTCAGCAAAGAGTTCATAAGTATATATAAATTTCCATAATTATTCATGTCAAACACAAGAATTCACCAAATAACTCACTCACGCTCCATTGTGTACAACTGAGTTCTATTGGCCTAGAATATAGTGTCACTACATGTTTCAGCTCATAGGTTTGTTTGGTGAATTGTTGTATTTGACAATAGTTATTATGGAAATTTATATCTAGTATAAACATGCAACAGGATGCATTCCTTAAAGGTTATAAATAACAGTTCATAAGATCTAATATGTAGAATGAAATACAAATAATTACCCCATGATCCAAACCAATGACACTTCTCTAGGACTACCAGTGTTTCTGAGCAGTAACAATCTTTTACATGCATACTTCATCTCAGTGCCTATTGAACTGCCTTAGTAAGACATGAGATACGGATGGACCTTGGCAAAGTACTGAAAATTCGTTGTCCACCATTGGTTACAAATCACAAATAGGCACAATTTTATGTAATAGTATGGTGTGTAACATTTCAGGAAGGTGACAGGTTATGAATGGAACATCGTAATACCAATATAACCCACAAAGCTGGTTGGAAATTTTCTGAAAATTAACCACAATATAACATCTTCTTTAATCAGCCATGTGTTCTATAGTGTTTCGTCTGATTGTACATTATACAAACTATAAAGGATGCCGAATGCAATAACAAAAGGTAAAGCAAAAGTAAAAAAGTAAAGTAAAGCTATCCCTATAACAGGCCTTGGAAGCCCATAGGGTTGTAAGATGTTGAGGTTCCCACATTTTCTAGACAACCAGCTCACAGATGGTGGCAAGGTTGTCAGTCCTACACGCCGGCCACCCTCTACCTCCAAGAATATTCCTGGTACTCATTTCTGTTAAGGCTGAGCCAACCGCAGGGCCATAGTGTGACTGCAAGGATTAGGTCAACTGAAGAAATCTAATGATCTCATTGGGACTTGAACCTGTGACCTTCCGGCTTGTAGCATAGTGCCTCAACCACCTACGCTACCATGGGCACCTAATAACAAAAGGTAGTCAAAAAATATGTACATATTTTTGGGGATTTTGGGTTGTTTTAAAAAGGTGATTCTCCTTTCTAAGCTATAAAGTATCAAAATCTATTCGTTTTGGTTTGTTCTGACACTATTATGGCTGACAATATGGTGGGGATGTAATATTAAGCCTTCATTTGACCCCTTGCAATTGCGAATGATGTTTGAAAATGGTCAGCGTGTTACAGCACCGGTGCAATGGTACTGCTCAATTTTCGTTGTGATTGTAGAACATAACTTAGCAGTCATAAAGTAATTTCTCACTGATATCTAAGTTCAAACACAGGGGTAGTTTTCTAAATGACAAATCAGAAGTCATGATCCAGGTATCAAAGGAAATTGCTGAATACATCAGGCAACTTTTAAGTATATAGGTCCTGGAAATCAGTTCTGTCTCATATTTTACTGCTAGAAGCACCCAAAACTACAATATAAAATGGAATGATTGCCTACAGACATCATCTTTAAAGTGGAATTAAATTAGTTCAACACATTAAACAAATGGGAGTGGATTATTTTGTAGGTACATTCCATGCTACAAGATATCTTGAATCAGCTGTTTCCTGATGAAGTAACCTTCTGCATTAACCACCAACCCACTATCTTCCAGTTGAGGTCAGATAATATAATCTTAAGGTATGGTTTGGAATCATGCAGAATCTCGTTACTCAGTTTCTATTTTTGTTATTAAATGGTAAAACGGTAAAACTTATCTGGAAGAAACTCTAAGGTTCCCCCTCCCCACTACCCAGATATCACTGATGGTACTGAACCACAAAATGAAATGTTATTTATTCTATACATGAAGGTATTCTGTAGCATTTCAGTGAAAATGAATGCGAAGTTAAAAGTTCAATTAAGAGAAATGTTCAAAAATTGTGGGGTGACCACTATGATAGAATAAGATGTTTATAAGAAAGTGCTACAGAGGGCCAGATGGGCACTGCATAGGACATTTTTGTATATACATGTATTTTGACAAAAAAAAGAAAAAAAAAAAAAGTGTGAGTTCAAGAACTTAATTGTCATGCTGTGTACATTGAAACATAACAGTCACACAATTTTGTTTAATCTCACACAAAAAAAAAAAAGAGCACAAGAAACCAAGCAAACAAGAAGCATTAACATGTGCTTTTCTTGCCCTTGCAGCTGAACCATTCATAATCTGTATTGGAAGCAACAATAACAGATGTTCACACAAGCCAAGGACACATGGACATAAATAAAAATGGAATTATACAAGAGCTGGGACCTTTTGGCCCAAATGGCAACAGAACAGACTTAAAATGGAAAACTGTGCTTAAGCTAAAGGCTGAGAGAAAAGGCCCTCCATGGACTTCCTGCTTCCTAAGCAACTTCTCTGCAGATTTAAAAAAAAAAAAACTTCTCATGCCATATTAAATTCAAACAAATCAGAAATTCATCAAGTTACTTTTTGTACACTAAGGCATGAAATTTTGGTGGATGCCAGGCCCCCTAGCCCTTAGAGACCAGAGACCATGTTGCTCCTGCACCAAATATTTTGCCCATCTCAAATGAGAAAACCATACTAAAACTTCAGTCAGCATCATCAGATTATGGAAACAAATCCTACTTCAATATGAGTATGAGTATGAGGAGTGAGCCATAAAACTGGCCCTAGCACTGCGACCTTCAATGATCTATTGTGCTTCCCCTTTGGATTAACCCTTTATTAATCCTAAACTTTGAATGAAATGTAGGACTTTGTTTACAGGGGCATCATAAAAGATGCTTGGTTCCATGAAGAATTGACCCAGGTGGCGAAATCTTAAATAAGCTATACTCTCACTCTCACAATCACGTAAGATGTGCAGGGCTGATTCATCTTCTTGTAGGCACCTCTCACAAGTTGGGTCCTCTGTCAGTCCCACTTTGGAAAGGTGCCCTTTTAGGTGGCAGTGTCCAGTAAGTAATCCTAACACCCATCTGAGTTGATCTCTGTTAAATTTAACAGCTCCCTTGTTCTTTTGGCAGAGGGTCCTGATATAAATCCTTTTGCCTGTTTGAGCCCAGTTATGGAATCCCAGTGTTTTTTGTGATTCATATTTGCCCAGTCCCTGACTGCTTTCTTGGCAACTCCAATTGAGATGCCTCAAGCTGGTTCAGATCCTGTTCTTGTCAGCTGATCTGCAGTTTCATTCCCTACAATACTCTCATGACCTGGCACCCATATCAGTAACAAATCCTACTTTCTCCACACGCACATGCGACCATATTGAGATCAGGAAGACAAACATAAATCATATGAATCTGTATACCATTTGTTAACATTACGTACCATTTTTTTCTCGTGTGAACTGATGAACAAAAAGTCATGTTTCCGCCATCTCTTTTCTCTTGATCTGATATCTTCCAATACCTGGCTGAATATAAATAGTTCCACTGAGTGATATCTATTAAATTTTCTAAATCTGCATGGCCACGGTAGCAACTATTAAACATTATAGAGAGCAACACCCTAAGTGCAATTTGTTTTCAACAGTAGTTCCTTTTGCAAGAATAAGGACAGAGTAGTTGGTATAACAGCCGGATAAAGGCTGGATGGCCAAGGGCTCAGAGCTTGAGTTGCAGTAGGGGCAACATTTATCTTTACTCCACATTATATAGATCACCCCTCCACCTTATCGTGGTGAGGGGGTTTGAGTATGCCAAGGACCCTGAGAGCTATACCAGCGGTAGTGTAGCTACTGGCAGGGCCTCCCTTGCTGGACAGGTCAAAGGGTAGGCATCAGACGAAGAGACACACCAAAAACTGATGCCGGAAGCAGCGTCATCAGCAGCAACTTGAAGCACAGAGCAAATGGAGCTCGAGATGGTTCAAGTTCGTATAGCAACAGGCGTGACCAGAGTCGTTTGAACGGCTGTTGTACTGCGATGTGGAAAGCAAATGGAAAAACTACCATATTATCACTTTTCCTGGATAGTCTCTTTCAAAAAACAGAAGATCGCATTAAGTGGAGGAACTGTTTTGGAAGAGACTGTGGACCTGCCGTCTGACAGATTACTGATGAATGAATGAATGAATGAATGAATGAATATAGACCAGTTCTGGGGTCCACCCAGCCTCCTATTCAACAAGTATCGTGAGGGGGGGAAGTTCTTTCTCCAAGGGTAAAGAGGCTGGGGCACATAGCTGACCACCTCCAACTAGTGCTGAAGTCAAAAATACTTGGATCTACACATCCACTCCCCCTTACACCTTCATGGCATAATGCTTAATCAATTATACATGGGGACAACTTTACCTTCTTTTACCTCTATAGTAGTCTTAATATTATCCTCCAATCTCCTTCTCGATCTCCAACTCATATGGAGTTCCTTTTATAATATCACTAAGATATTATTATGTTAAAAAAAATACCATCCTGAAAGGAACCCTACAGGCCTAGGGATGTAGTATAAAACCTTTACTTTCAGCATGTACTTTGAAAGACGTATTTCTCTATTGTGGTACTGACAGATGTTAACAAAAGGACATGTACACTCAATATTCATGGTGATATGTTTATCACCTGTGGCAATAGCATGTATAATCCTTGTTTCTGTATAGGTAATACAAGACAATTGTAATGTTACAGTGACAGACTCACCTTGTATGCTGGCAAGTGTGTGCTGGTCAAAGGGATAAACTGTGACAAAGAGACTAGACTGTCACATACTCTTATTAATGCTCACACATAAGACCCATTCCCTTCTAGCCTTATGTTTTATACTGGAGCTCCAGAAGTTGTACAACATGCAGGTTCCTCCACATAAAACACTGGAATTCAGAGAGGATGGTATTCTTGATAAGGATAAAGTGAAATAAAATCTCAAGTAGCATAAAACTAAATGCTATTTCCTTAATATCAGTTGTACACATTTCAAAATAATTTCTGGATAACACCTAAATTACAAGAAGTTTATACAACAAAATCATTATGCATTCATATAATCATTAAGAAACTGCACAAAAATACTTGTTAAAGCACCCTTCATGATCAAATTACCATGAGTCCGAATCACAGCTGTTAGAATGTGTAATTTGTACATGTACACTGGTAACAACGCTCAACTGTATGTAACTAAACATCTCCTTTACATCTTGCAGTGCTCTCCATTATGCTACTAAAACAAAAGACAAAATTAATTCAGAGTAAAAATGACATTTAGTTCCAAATCACAAATCACACATTTGCACATATATTCATACAATGTGCACTGCATCACCAATGCTCTGGAATCATCACATATGGGTTTGTATTGTAGTCATGGACCTAAGAATTTAGAGAAATGAAATTATCTTTCAATATCATTACCAACCAATTAAATTCCTTGGCTGTACAAAATATATTAATAATACTATATCCTGTTTATAAAGGCAGAATAAAATATGTCCCTAAGACAACAGAAAGCCATGGCTTCTACTCAAGTAAAACAATATCATGTTGATTATAAGAGTAATGGGAAACAGATAAGCAAACTGCTGTCTGTCCCTTTGTTCAAAATGGAACACCAACTGAACGACTACGATCATCTATTCACCAACCACAATAAGAGCTGCCATGATGCCAATTCCTGCAAGTAAGGATGCCAAATGAAGCAGTGATTCTTTGGGGTTCTCCTCCTGAAGAAGATCTGGCAACACAGTGACTAGTGCGATGTGCAGGAACCCACCTGCAGTAAATGGCAGTATCCACGATGTCCGAGCTTCTGCAAAGTAAAAATGCAGCTTGTAATAAATAAGCACAGAGATGGCAAATTTCTAGATGGGAAATAACATGAGGCATCTACTCATACATGACAGGAAATTAAAGACTGTGCAGTGTCTGTAGGAAGGAATGTATATCATGTGGAAGCACTCTGTGTGAAATCTGCCCCTAGAATCCTTCCAGTGACAACCTGCCTTCCCTTGCAGCTACATATAAAATGCATCCAGTTCCTGCAGTGGCAGCATTACCTAATTTTTAGATCTTCTTTAGCTTTGGCCTGTACTGATAAATAAAATTCCTTGGTCATAGAACTATAGAAGAGCATTAAGCTACCACACGTTTCTCACAGAACAAAATACTGGCCCAATGTAGTGCAAATTCAAAATATCTCAGAGGGGATTTGTCCTGCTGTTTGGCCGAAGTGACCGATTAAATCTTGGAGATAATGTTAGTAGACAATGGGTTAAGTGACATGTTAATAACGTTCTGGTATACCACACCACATATATGATAAAGCAAAATAAGGAAGCTACTTAATATAACATTACAAACTTTGCTGATTATGAAAATGGTAGCATGTTGTGAAGAGCTAACATATGGATGTGCTAATGGTATGACTGCCTGTCACATCAACTTTCTGAATCACTGTATAATTTTAGTATCTCTTACTTTTATGTACAAATGGATTGTTTTTTAAGGATTTAAAATCATATACTGGTTACTGATCTGAATAGTGATGTTGCAGTGGAAGAACCCACATCACAAAAAATCTAGAGCAGGGATTGTCAGCTGTGTGCTCATGGGCATGTCTGGGTTACTGGAAAGGTTTTTGATACCAATGAGAATTTTAAAATATTCCTAATAATTTCTTAATTGTTTGCTGGTAATTAGAAAGTATATGGTAACTTCCACCTTACAGAACCAATCTGACTGGTTTTAATTTGATACTCCAAAAATGAATAAATCTTATGTGGCATCATATCCAATGGTTCTGAAATTCAAAAAGACAGTTCCTGGTGAGGTGTCACACAAGAACTGCAAAGTGTTCATAACTGATGATGTAAATTCATGTATCAGAACAAATTCACTGACAACAAATACTAATCTGAGATCAAATAATTAACTGACACTCCATAAAGAACTGGCAGTATCTTTGATCAGTTACTGTCTTACCACAAAATATGAGGTGAAATAACTTGTCTTATAAGCTGTACAGTTCGCATGGTGACGAAGTCATATCATAGTCTTGCAGGTTATGACACCATTTTTCAGTATGTTAGGTGGATACCAGTGTTTCAGAGGAATATATCACCTAAATCTTCAGGGCAGAAGCTACTGCTGTTCAGAAGTGCATACTGTCTCTATCTTAGGGTGAAAGTCACTTCTATCATGAAGGTGGAGGAAGTACACGTATTTTCCTCCAAAATTGTTGGTACCCATTTACCAGACTACATAGCATCATAATCTAAACTTCAACAATAGTAACTCCTTTTGTTTTCAACTCCTTAAATTCCCAGTCCTCCTCTCCCAGAAATCTCCTCCTGCTATAGATCCAAATACATTTCTAAAAATCCTTCAATCATCTCCAAAGTGCAGTTTCAGTGATTAGAATTGTTATCATGAGGAGAAATGGCAGGAATACAGTAAAATAACTGTCCACAAAGAAATATGACCACACATAAAATGTGATTTTATGTATTAATTTCATACAGTTGTTACACTCAAACATGTGAAAGATACTAAATACATTTGATTATACATATATAAATATATATGATAACACATTATATATTCAGTGAGCTTCTTTCTTACATGTTCTGTCTTCACCATTCCCAAATTCATATGCTGCACTGATATATTTCCAGTGGGGAATTACAGCTTCTGAAACATCAACCCACTCTAAGCTTAAGTGTTTAAAAACAGTCAATATATTGTTCATATTCAAACTGAAGCCAATCCTTCATTATGCAATTCTGAATGTAGGGAAAAAAGTTTACCATTCAGATAAATATGTACAATACTAAATCAAGACATGAATTCCCTGTAGGGACTGAATTTTCGTTCGCAAAATGGGGGCAAAACACTAAAACAGGGAATGTTAAAAAGAGAGAATGAAAAAAAAATGAAGGATCTCTTAGAAGAAAGAACCTTAAATCAGGATCACACTGTACATTCTTTACATGCAAAATCCAAGATTTCAGCATAGTAACATAGCAGTGGTTCCCAAACTGGTTTGTAAACCCCTTTGCATATTCATACTTTGGTCACATGAGTTATAACACCATTCTGCAGGCAAGTATGAATGTTTTCAAGATACTCAATGCCTTCATCTTCAAGGTGAGGAGTATGTTCCTCCTAAATGCTAGTACCCACCTACCAGACTGGACAGTATCAAAACCCAGAAGACCACAACATAAATCTTCACCACTGAGAGGCCCTCAGCTCTTTTAAACCCTTACGGGTATACAAAAGTTTTCAATGGTTTGCTAAAAAAAGATGCATGATGATGGAATTCTTGTGTGTCAATTTTATTTAAGGCAATTCACAAACAGCCATGACGCTAGTGGTGCTGTTCTGCTTTCTTGTACTGGAAAAATTATATATTTTTGTTGCCATTGTTGTTGTCCTAATTGCAAAGTTGCTAATTTATAGCTGAATTAGCAGTTTCCCTGAAAGTGATTTGTTAAAAGCTAGAGGATTTGAAATGGGTCTGAAGGTAGTAAAACGTGATCTAAGGTAGATATTGCTGGAAAATACTTAATTTTTCATGCAGCTTACATATTTTGATTGCTCATGAAATGGACATGTTCAAAAACCATTGTATTACTAATGCTGCCTTCAGGTTCATGCTGTATCTTACCAACAGGAGATGTTGCCCCACTGAGAGCCACAGCTGTGAGAGCACCCATAACTCCTGTAGATGCTGTAGCAATCTGGGCTCGTGCTGCATCCCATCGTGAAAATCCTGATCTCAGGAGAATGGCAAAGTCCCCAACTTCATGAGGAATCTCGTGGAGGAGGATGGCAAGAGTCGTCAGGACGCCGTGAGGGAAAGATACAAGAAAACTGCCTCCCACTGCCAGACCATGAGTGAAGTTGTCAAATGAGTTGGCCATTAGGTTCAGGTACCCACTCACCTGAAAACGAACAAAAAGAATTTTGATTATAAAGGTAAAGTAGTTCCTATGCTTATGAAACACACTGTAAAGACATAAATGGAATGAAGCCAATGCTCTATGCATTCTTAACAATGGCACTAGATGGTGGTAATCTGGAAAATTTACCCAAGTAAAGGGACCCCTGGTAATTCATGTGGGGCCCATGGTGGACAAAGTGAGACTGAGGCAAGTGTACCAAGTTTTCTCCAAGTACTTTGGTTTTCCCTGTCAATTCTCATTCAACCAAACATTCAGTTCTTCTCATATATCATCTGGAGCTGGTAGAACACAATGGGCTATTTACAGTCTCAGTACCCATCATAAGAATTTAAAGAAATTGGTATCAAGTGGATAGCAGATATTGTTAATTTCTGAAGAAAACCTGAAGGTACATTACTGTGTTCACAAGAACTTGCTCCTTGTCCTTATCCTGAGTCACACAAATCTGTCGAGAGATTTCCACCTTATTTCTTTGTCACTGTACATTTTTTAGAGAAGGTGCTCAGATCTTAGGAAAACAGATTTTACACACTAAGCGTCTAAAACTTGCTATGATCTACTGCTTGTCCACATGCTCTACCCCAATATCCATCTTCCTTCAGAACATACTTTAATTTGTAACTTTAGAAATCAGTGTACAAATGCAGGTTTACTGTTGCTTTCATCAATGTTTAAGAGAGGAAAGAATCTTCTCAGTTATTTAATTAGTGCATTTTACAGAACACTTTAAATGAATGTAACAATGTGAGCAAATCGAAAACCATTTTAGCATAACACCAACAGGAAACATACACATACTATACTACACTATACTATAACAACACAGTGTGGCCTGAACAACTGGACAAAGACACTACAGAGTTTTATTTTTCAAACAATGGAATCACAACATGGAAAATATTCATCTTCCTTTAAAGAGAAGAAGTATAAAGACACGACCAAATTAGTTCTAGATTTTAACAAAAAGTTTTTAATAATAACATTGATAATAATTTATAATTTAAAAATGTTTTAACAAATTCATGCACATCCTAGTAATTGTTAAAGGATATAATATATTATATCAATGACATTGCAATATTAGTTTCTGTATGAACTGATAATGACCTATGACACTGTAACAGTGCTTTCTGCATGTACTGATAACGTTCTTCTGAAGACGGTCACTCTGACCGAAACATGTAAAGGATGAAAGATTAAAAAACACAACGTTTATCAATCACACTGGATGGCATTAATAATATTTTATACTGTTACTAGTGTGACAGACCAGGATGAACTAAGTCAAATATATCTTGTATGATTTACCTATTTTTAATCAGGCCTAAGAAGAATGTAATATGTATTACTAGCATGTCATCCCTCAAACCAAATCTCTGTATTTTTCATGCACACAGCTGAAAATATGCATCTTAAATAAGTAAAAAATTATAATTCAGTGATTCCCTCCTAATATCACAGGCCACATCTGAATAAAGCAGGGTTAAATGTTTTTGAAAGTTTCAAAACATTTCTAGATATTATTTCCATATTTGGGAGTTAAAACTGTATTATGGGAGCATTTATAACATTATTTATCTCTGTGTATTTCAACTTTTTCCCCATATGGCCTGGAAACACAATAGAACTGATAATTACATGGCAATGATGATTTTCATAATGATCTTTATTCAGTGCTTTAGTCTGCTTCTGAAGATGGAGGTGGCAGGCTTCTGTTACTACCTACGGTGCTATACTCAGAAAATGAAGCAACAAAACTGATAATTCTCACTACTCCTCACTGGAACAGCAGTGAACAGCAATAACACATCTGACTCACTAAACAGGTTGGTCTAGAGGTTAACAGCCCCAGACTTGTATTCAGGAGATGGTTTGACTGAATCTCAGCTGAACACCCACTATCCTGACAGATTTTCCACGGTTTCCTTCAGTATCTCCAGGCAAATGGCTCAATTAGGCCAAAATGCTCTTTCAAAATCCTTTTCCAAATCATCATTTATCAATTAAGCTGTCATTTGATGATATACACCACCGATACTACAAGAATCTGAACTCCCCCCTAAACTATATCTGACTTGTATACTAAGTGTTCCAGATCTCAGGCTGGGACTGTTTATCCTGTTGTTTCTGCACTGTCCTTTCATAACAGGCAAATGCAGGGGCACATATCCTACCTGCTCCAGCATTCAGTATAATTCTACTATGTCTCATGCAGCATTATCTAAGTCCCAGCACTTTACAGTGTCATAAAACAACCAAATAATCGATCAGAGAATCCTGTTGTACTTATAACGCAACCTGATACTCAGGCTTGTATTTACCTTTCTAGATGTTGATTTGAGTGGAGTAATGAGGGACATTTTCTCATGTGTGTTTGATGTTGTCCTTACACTTGCACAGTGGCCATTTGCATAACCATTGACAAGTTCTTTAACATTGTTATTAAGAATGTATCCATTTTCCTGTCTAATATTTATGTCTGTGATTGCCTTCTGGATGTCCACATTTCCTGGCACAGAAGTGAATACTTTCTCCAGTACAATAAAGATCAGCAAGCCAGCTAGCACCCATAGTCCTTTGTTCATGGATGGATGTGAAATAAGTGGGTCTGCAACATATTAATTAATTATGTTGTAAATGAGCTTCTATGTTGAATATGCAAAAGAAATATTCTGAAAAGAAACAGCTATAAACATGTGATACAAGAAATAGCACTGTCCATAAGATTATAAATGAGTTGTAAGAAACACATGATGATGGCCTTTCAAAACAAATGGCTGTTCCAAAAATGGAAATGTTAATTTTCACCTCAGGTGCTGCATTAATAAATGAAGTCTCAATATAAGTGCTTCCACAGCTAATACATATTTCAGAAGACACATTACACAAATTCTATGTTCTTTTGTAATCTCTAACATAGTGTTAGTGAACTCCAAGGTTCACTTACGTGTTTCTTGATTCTAATGTAAACCCCTATTTTGCTGTTTTAACACAATATTATTACAAAGCCATCATTCTGGGAATTTTGATCTCAGATTCCTACTGAACCTAACCCCTCAACTCAACTGAGCATCAGGTTGGAGAAGGAGACAGTGTGACAGAAGACATCAGCTGCAAGGTACAGGCATGGATGAAAGGATAATATTTCTTTAAAAAATAAAGTGGAAGGGTACAAAATGGATTCATTTGGTTTAGGCTAGTGACAGTGCCAAACTCTTGTGAACATGGTAATGAACCTCTGAAGTCCATAAAAGGCAACGAATTTCTAGATTATATGAGCAATTATTAGCTTCTCAAACACTATGCTCAACAGAGCATACTAAGTTTGTTAGTCAGTTATAAACAGCAATACTATTCAGAGCCGCAGGTAACCACACATTTAGCAATATCAGAGAAGTCTGTTATTAACTACTCTAGCACAATTCTACTATATTTGTAGATACTAGTCTTCACATGCTGGTGGCTAATAGCTAACCTTCAGGGTACAAAAGATATAGGCTTAAGCTGAAGAGTGTTTCCTTCAGACCCAGCATGACTCACCAACGAGAGTTTGCTGTTGTTCCATCCAAACTTCCGGCAGGAGATGCAGGAACACATCTCCCAACAAACATCCTACAGCAAAGCTAAGCAGGACTCGCAAACTGCGGGCACCACCTGTCAACATGAAGAAGTATCTGACAAATGAGAGGTTTTACACATGTAATTCAATTTGCACATTTTAAGAACACAGAAGAGAAAGACCAAACATGGCTGATCACTAAAAATCTTGACAAATATAATAATCACACTACAGATATGTCAGCAGCTCATGAAAATAATTTGCCTATGATAGTGTTTCTCGACATGTAGTCTGTGGGCTGACTGAACTCGAAATTATTCACAAACCTCTCATCCCCAAAAAACAAAAGTCATAAAGTACGCAGCATGACACAAATGTGTTGATTTACATCCACTCATTAAACTCACGTTCATGCCTAACAGTCATTACCTTGAAAACAAAATGTAGGAACAAGATCTGCGCAACATGGCACTTTCATTCAAATATAGCCTACAACAATTGTTTTGAAACACATTTCAGTATAGCTAATTTGTAGTACTAAAACATACGAGTCTTTTAAAACGAATGAGGCGATTCCAATTTGCGATACCAGTATTTAACGAGCTACAGCAGTTACTACATAAAACTATCAAGTAACCTGTTGTTCAGTATGCACAGTAAAACATCAAGTTTCTTGGTCTCACATATCCCTTTTAACACAAATTTCTTTCATAGTTGCCTCCAAATTCTCGACAGTAGCACAGAGTTTTTATGTTCGCTGCAGACGCAAAACGTATCTCTACCAAACTCTTACGACGTTTCAGGCTCACAAAAAGGAGAGCAACATTTCATAACAAGGTGACGTTTTTACTGTGTGGCACTGTTACACCCCACTCAACATGGGACCCACTAGATTGAGTGTATTTGAGGACAGGGTGCTGGGGAGAATATTTGGACCCAGGAGGAAGTAACAGGGGGCTCAACAACGTGCATAATGAGGAGCTTCATTCATAAATTGTACTCCTTGCCAAAACCAAAGATGGGAGAGATGACATGTTGCTGGAATCGCGATATCACAAGAACGGTTCGTTAGAACGGAACACAATTTATGGACATTGATCCGTATTGATCTGCTCTCTACTTCTGTGGGAGTGAAAAAGAAACAAAGTTCTATTTAAAAAGTGTATGTGACCTTGAAAACTAGTAAAAACGCAATATACATGCATCATGTGTCCCAAATGACACTGCGCAAATTTTGTCTTAAGTTTTTGTTAATGCAATGGATAATAAAGGAGTTATTCATGGTGATAATGTTCAGTGGTTAATCATGTATATAACATCCAAACGTCTGTCTCTTCTCCTGTCCGTTCCACTCTGCTTCTCCCAAGCGGCACGTACCAGAAAAATGGTGAACAAAAAGTGCTCTTCTTGGAAAGACTTCCCCTGAAAATTGTTACTTTTTCTGTTATATGTATGGGTTCAGTTGGAAGTAACAATCCTTTTGACGCTCTCATCACGAGAACGGGGTTTACAGTTTAGTCTTTTATGTTCCAAGTTCGCCCTGTTTCCAAAAAGTAACTTCAAGTGGTAAACGTTAACAGTTTCTGGCCGTGCAAAGAATGAAAACTTAATTACAGGCGCCGTTTTCGACGTATGCTGTGATATGGGTGTGTCCTATGAATTCGTCGACAGGGCATCGTGTCCGAACACAAGCGGAAAGCGTTGACGAGAATGGCATGTGTCCTTACCGCCGGACCAGCCGAAAGATGAGGCAGGTTCCCAAATACCCTCCCTGTATTAACAGGCCCTATATATTTTGAGGGAGCATGTCACTTCAACCTGTTTCACTTTCAGATGTGTTTTAAACTACCACGATTAAGAAAATGTGGATAAGTATTTATCAACAGAATTTCAAAGACTATTTTTTTTTTACATTTCAATTCTTGTTATTTCGAATGTACCTTCACCATATCACCATTCGACTCCAGAATCACAGGCTACTGACGATAACATGACAACAGACCTTAACGGAATATGACAGAAGGATGTGGACTGTAGCGTACTAAATTGGCTCAGGACAGGATTTTTTGAGCACGGTATGAACCTTATAGTTCCATAAAGTCGGATAATTTCCTGAGTAGCTGAAAGATTATTTGGCTTCTCCAAAAGAAACTCTGATCCACACAGCTGGCTGGTTGGTTACTTAGAGGTCCTATGTGTATTCAAAAACCGTTTAACAACGATTTGTTTCAATCCATTACGCGACTCAGATTCATGGAAAATGAAGCAACAGGCTACATACAACAGCAAAGCAGCCTCTCTTCCAAAAACAACTTTGTATTTCTCTCCTTTTAAATTCACACCCACAGCAACGATACTTCCACAACATGTCTGAACCTATTCGTCAATAAACTGGATTTAGATTATGATTATGAGTAGACTACTGCATAAGTCGGACAAGCTCAATCAGTACAGTGAACAGGTTATGGGCGGGACGAGCGAGATATTGGGAGTCAATTCCAGACAGGAGCTGACATGGTTCCCTTCTCCCCCGTGACCAGACCGGATGGGTACCTGGGGCTTTTTCCCCGGGTGTTCGGCGACCGGGCACTGGAGCTGACCAGTCACTGCCAACTAGTGTCAAGGTTAAGAATGCGTGGATTTAAACATTCTGTTCCCCATATACCTCCACGGCGTGGTACTTAATTACTATAAACATGGGCATCTTTACCTTTACAAAAATATCAAGGATTAAAATATAAGTTTCTTCCTCATTTACTCTCTTACGGGAATATTATATCAGAATGCGAAAATGTAAAACTTTGGACACGACCCAAAATTACTTCCATCCACTCCGTGTCCTAACGTATTCATCAAACTTCCATATTCACGTTATTCTGCTTTTTCGGTTTTCCAAGCGCCCAATTTTACAGGAAGTCTCTCCACCAAATTCTGCATGCAGTCCTAGCAACATGCCCGGTCTATAGCAGCCTTCCAGATTTCATTATCTACTAGATGACCCATGAAAACCATGAAGTTTCTCGTTAAGTAATGTCCCAAAGTGTCCACTCGATTCACTCTTCGATATCAACACTTTTCCTGAACACTTACTCTTTTTCATGTGTTGCTTAGACAACAATTAACTCCCCAAAATCTCTCAAGAAATATCTCACACACACTGCTACATATTACATCTACGGCATGCCAAGAACGACATGTATGAAGGTACAAATAAGTGTTCTTGGAGCAATCTCATTTGAACATAAATATAAGCATATACATTGCATATCAGCACTAAAAACAGGACACCACTTAACTGGGCAGTGTCGCTGAGATACGAACTCTGAGTGACTCGAGATTCTTGACAGCAGTGCCAAGAATGCAGACATCAAACCTAAGATCCAGGCACGTCGAACAAACCCGAGCTGCTATGCTCACTAACTGCTGGTCATTTTAGTCTTGTGAGTGTCCTGCAACGGTATTACGTACGCGCAGGTGAGTTGCAACAATGTGACTTTGTGACAAGGGAATCTTCAACGAGAAGACATGAAAATGTGACAATAAAACTACCGCCACTTCTCAATTATGCATCGGAGGCGTTCTTCATCTTCGTTCACGTGAGCTGATGAAGTTCTCTTGGAATTTGTTAGTTGAAGCGTTATATAAAGTTTGGATTTATTTTAAATGACGATAACATTGTAAGCCAGTCGTTTGCTCTGTTCAATTCTCATCAGAATGACATTTTAGTTGAACTCAAGTTAAAATCGATACAGAAGTGACTGCAAACGCCTTCTCATTTGACGGCATATTAATATTTCACGGCACATAATCATACTCCACATCTACGGCATAATGTCCTGTACACTGTTGTGCAATCTGTGTTATAATAATAATAATAATAATAATAATAATAATAATAATCATCATCATCATCATCATCATCATCAACAACTACGAAGGATGGATCCTACCGATTCGTTCAGGCCCCTAAATCTTATCCGGCTATTTCTTCACTGAGTTTCAAGATTTCTACTTCCTCGAGGTGCGGTCCTGCCAAGCCTCTTAAACATTCGGTATTCTTCCATTCTGTAATTTTGTATTCAGACTGCAGACTTTTAATTTTTCTCTACTGTACTGACAATCTGGACGTGTAGATCCGGCTGCTCCGGCTTTTCTCTCTGTATCATTGTGTCATGATTTTTTCTGAAAGCCCACGTTTCACTTCCATATAGTAAATGTTGCTAAAGTAATTGTTTTGTGTTGTTTTCGCTGTAATTCTGATCTGATCATAACTCCGGATTCTTACGTTTAATTAAATCGTGTAATATTCCAATCCATACATCATTCTGTCCGAAGTGTTGCTTTACAACCCAGGGACGTAAAAGACTCCATCCGTTCTACAGGCTGGTCATTTATTGCTATTTTAGGTAGCGCAGGCTCATTTCCATTGAATGCAACTTGATGCCTCCGATACAAACGTACAGATTATAATTACGAATAATCGTGTTTAAACTGTACAGCGTATCAGTGTGTTGGACTTTAGGTTGTGACACTGGCAATACAAGTATCCAACAGGGCAATCTCGTATGAACCCCCCTTATCACTAGTTACTAATATCTGAAATAACATAAAGGTACAGGAAAAGTTAAGCACTACGCCATGAAAACGTATGGTGGAGTGGACGTATAGATCCACGTATTCTCACCTCGGCACTAGTTGCAGGTGAACGGTCAGCTTCACAACCCGGCGGCTTTAACCCCGGCGAAAAAGGCCCCGGATAACATGTGATAAACAATAAAATCTATTTCCTTTGTTAAATTTGCATTTAACAAACAATAATAAAAAAACGTACCAATCTGAAGATACAGCATAAAACAAGAAACACGTTTACTGATAAAATTTAAACATCTACAATTCCAACCTAAGGAGAATGCCGTCTTCTCAGATGTGGAGCCGTGTAGATCTTGTGTGAACCGACGTTTCACACAAGATCTACAAGGCGCCATATCCCAGAAGACGACATTCTTCATAGTCTTACTTACTTACTTACTTATGGAGCTGAGCCCTTCTTGAGAAGTCACCAATTGTGCAGCGACTCAAGAATTTCTCAGCATTT